AGAGGTAAGTATAGATAGAGGCGTGTAGGAATGGAGGCAAGTATAGATAGAGGCGTGTAGGAATAGAGGCATGTAGGAATAGAGGCAAGTATAGATAGAGGCATGTAGGAATAGAGGTAAGTAGGAATAGAGGCGTATAGGAATAGAGGCATGTAGGAATAGAGGCAAGTATAGATAGAGGCATATAGGAATAGAGGCAAGTATAGATGGAGGCATATAGGAATAGAGGTATATAGGAATAGAGGCATATAGGAATAGAGGTAAGTAGGAATAGAGGCGTGCAGAAATAGAGGCGTGTGGGAATAGAAGCATATAGGAATGGAGGCAAGTATAGATAGAGGCAAGTATAGATAGAGGCAAGTATAGATAGAGGCAAGTATAGATAGAGGTATGTAGGAATAGAGGCGTGTAGAAATAGAGGCGTGTAGGAATAGAGGCATGTAGGAATAGAGGCAAGTATAGATAGAGGCAAGTATAGATAGAGGCAAGTATAGATAGAGGCAAGTATAGATAGAGGTATGTAGGAATAGAGGCGTGTAGAAATAGAGGCGTGTAGGAATAGAGGCATGTAGGAATAGAGGCAAGTATAGATAGAGGCAAGTATAGATAGAGGCAAGTATAGATAGAGGCAAGTATGAATAGAGGCAAGTATAGATAGAGGCATGTAGGAATGGAGGCAAGTATGGATGTAGGCATGTAGGAATAGAGGCGTGCAGAAATGGAGGCGTGCAGGCACACAACAGTGTAGGCATGCTCAGTGAAGGCATGCTCAGTGAAGGCTGGATCCCCAATACTGCTCACCGCTCAGTTTCATACGGCTAGCCCTACTCTGCCCTCTTCTTTATTAGTTGCAGCCTTAGTGTTGTCTCACTCATCACCCTATTTCTTTATATTCACCACTTATCAGTTACAGGCACCAAACGCGCCATGGCCCACTAAGTCTTGTTTGCCTCTCACCAGCGCTCCCGCACAACTATTTCGATTCTACACCACCACCAGCGACACCTTCTATCGTCGCTGCCTACGATATCGTCGCCGCTCGCGGTCTCGTCGCCGCTCACGATCTCGTCGCCGCTCACGATCCCATCGCCACTCACGATCCCATCGCCGCTCACGATCTCGTCGCTGCTCACGATCCCATCGCCGCTCACGATCTCATCGCCGCTCACGATCCTATAGCCGCTTGCTCTTTGTTAGTGTATTAGGTTGTGCTAATTCTTCTCTAAACACACATTTCGCTACCTTAATACTGCCAACCATTTGTGGACTACCATCAAAAGCTCATATTTGATGCATCTTGTCATTCGAAACAGAGAATCGCACAAACACAATGGAGGATATCCTGTTACCAGTTGATGTTTCTCTTAAACTTAAACCAAACAAAAAGCAGATAGCATAGAAAAAACCGATCACTGATACGCTGAAGGATCTCGCACAACCTAATGTGACCCCAGGAGATATTTTAAAAGAATATTTTTCTTTTAACAAAATGCAGATAAAAGAGATAGGGTTATATGTGTGCTAGCTTGTTTAAGGTGCCTGCGCGGCTTTGTATACAAACACCCCTAAGCAGCATTCTTAAGAAGCAATTATTTAAAAGATCTCTGACCGCGTCTGTGCGACGATGGACCAAAGGCTCCCATTCCCGGACGGCGAATTTCAGAGAATTGCCAACGACCTACGCCAAGTTGTGGAGCAGTTTGTGTCGTCTACGATAGCCGGCACCACCAACCTGAATTCATGTATTGAACATCTGTCGAATCTCGATGTCTGTTGTTCGGAACATAGCGCATCGCCAAAAGCAGTCGGCCAAGCAGCGCATATCCTACTAGAGAGGGATACAGCAGAGGGCATCAAGAACGAAATCGCAATCGAAGATATGGTATTGATCGTGTCTAGAGATGTAAAGTGGGATGGAATTAGCATGCCTAAACCCGAGTACTCAAAGACAACGACAATCTGGAATCTGGAATCATGGCAAAAGACCGGACAAAGGGGCACAATCATGTCGTGGCTTCGGTCCTAACAGGTTCGCTATAATCCAGACAGAGATATCTATTTGCTATGTCCCAACGAATACAACAACGTGGTTGCAAAAAATGAACACTAGATACTGAATGCATTGGTGGAGGAGCATCGCTACAATGCCACCAACCTTAAGATGAAGATTGTACCACGGCTCAAGGTTCACACTCCAACCCCCGGCCAGGACAAGCCTAAGCTGCTAACCACTATGGACAAAGACCTGAAAAATTTCTTCAGCTATGGCGAATACAAATCCTGTGTTTCTAGCCTCTTCGAATGCACGCCCCTAATAATCAAAGCATAGAATAACACGAAGTCATATTTCAGTTTACTATCAAGCGGCGAGCCACAGCAGGATACATACAAGATAAAAGGGATTGCCTAACCTCTGCGTCTGCATCACCTATTGCTGCTCTCTCAGCTGCGTGGGATGTCTGAAAAGTTCCCCGTGATATTCATCTCGGACGAACTTGGCCTGAACCAGATCACAGCTGCATAGCTTCTTATATAGCAAGATCACGTCACAGGGGTTATAGCAGAAGAAATAGAAAGTGAAAGAGGTAGCACGGGCGATAGCGCAAAACATCTCAGCGCTGACGCCCCAGAAGGGAGCACGTGTCTATCATCAGACCGCTTTCCTTTTCGTTGTCTCTGCGAACCTGCTTCCACGACCAGACCAGACACGCGTACTAACCAACAATACCTCGTAAGATGCCCCACAATAGAGGTGCTTGCAGCGTGGACATACGAGTATGAAACTCTCTTTGATTTCAACAATGAGTTCCTACCAGCACACACCAACTTTTAAGCAGAAATCTTTCATCAAAACTCGTCAATTTTCTATCAGATATAGGGGTAACACGTCGCGAGAAACCGATTTACGCCACCTCTAATGTGTGCAGCCCTCTCGTTAAGGTGCTAGAGGGGGTATTGTCGGTATTCTTGCGACGTGTTCGAAATGCGAAAATCTTCGAGAACGCACAGACCGCCCCAATGACTAATAGGGAGACTACTAAACGAAACTAAAAACAATTAAAAACACCAAATAAAACAACAAAAATCAAAAATACCTATATCTAAACGCCGAGACAGCCTAATACCCGCTGTAGGCACCAT